GCTCATATTTTGGTGTGATTTCAGCCAAGAAGTCAGAAAACTCATTTATGAAATCCTTAGATCGAGGTGGGTGGTATACGAGTACAAATAAAGTCTGAGGTGAATGTCCGAGTTCCAAGACGCTCAGCTCAAAGCTGGCGCAGGAAACTGGGATGGGCAGTTGTTTACAGTCAAAAGTTGATTTGAATATTGTTAATAATCCACCACCGCGCCGGCCTGATGGCCGCGGGGCGTTAAGATACAAACAGTTCAGTGGCAATAATTCCGTCAAGGCGCTGGACTCACCCGGAGACATCCAAGTCTCTGTGATGCACAGAAAGTCTAACTCGAGCTTTTGAAAATAGTCCCTGAGGATAAAAGTTGTTGGTAACAGATCTTGCATTGACCAAACACATCCAGATACTGTCTAAAGTGGAGCTAGCAGCGGTTGAGTTAGCGTGCGCTAATGACCGCAGGTTTTCAATAACAGCCCCTCCAGGTCGGTCCTAGCGGTGCACCGGCCGACAACTCCCGTTAGTTACCTGGTTCAGGCACGCGGGAAGCTGGCGATAGAAACCATGACCACCGACTGAAGAGGAAGATCCAGTGTGCAGAGCTTTAAGCTTCACCAGCCGCCCAGCACGTTTTCCCCGGCGTCTGAAGCAATGTCTCCGGGCAGGCAGGTGAGGAGCCCAGCGGAGGTAAACTGGCACGTCCTCCAGCCGGGGGTGGGGGGTTCCAGAGGTACGCTGATAATGGTCGAAATAGCGGCATCAGTGACAGAAAAACGAAGATCCAGAAGCTGTTGTCTTTCATACATGAGGAATGAATTCATGCCACAGATAAAAAACGAACAAAGCAAAAATAATCCGAACACCATCAGCAGAGGTGGATTGCAAGCCATGCACACGGGCGCCATCTTACCGGAAGTGACTGTAGGGGGCAGTGTTGCATGCACTGTTGCAGGTCACAGAGTATGGTGTAACACCGGGTCCAATCTACTGAACCAGCTTCCTTCTGACCTTGTTTCACAAACAAAAAGCAAAAAATATTAATCTCTAAACATTTTTAAAAAATCTTTAAATATATTAATCTCTAAAACTAACCTTAATGCGCTGCGGGGTGAGACCCCCACTGTGTTTAGTTTTGTTTTTGACGTGCTGCATGTTTCTTCATGTTTGCAGCTTAATAATAATAATAATAACTAATAGTTTAGTTTTTCCTGTGACTTATTTGCAGTATGATAAATGGTAGGAGCATAATATATGCTCTCAAATTTTTGTTGGTCTTTTTTTGTAAATAATGACATTTTTTGCGGTTTTATTTATTTATTTATTTTTGTATCTTTAGATCCTATGATGTCGTCAAGTACTTGAGTTGTACTCGAGTTTAATTATGTTAATGTCGAGTTTAAAAATTATGTAGTCGTTCAACCCCTAGTGCTGACATCACATCTGTTAAATCTGGGCTTCGCCATAAATTGGAAGAAAAGCTCGATTCTCCCGGCCCAGACGATTGTTTATCTGGGACTGGAGCTAAACTCAACCACCATGAGGGCTCGTTTATCACAAACGAGAATCGACACTCTAAAAGACCAGCTCCGCCACGTAAGACCTGGCAGAGTGATAACAGCTGTTTCCGCCATGAAGCTGTTAGGAATGATGTAATCAGCTCACACTGTGGTTCCGCTGGGTTTACTCCACATGAGATGCCTCCAGAGGTGGTTTGCGCGTCTGTGTGTGGATCCAGTAAAACAAAAGAGACGGATGATCATTGTTCCTCCCTCCGTGAGAGTAGACCTCCGACACTGGGAAAAACCCCTGGTTCTGTCGGAGGGAGTCCCCGTCAGCAGACCCACGTCACACGTGTCAGTCTTCACAGACACGTCGCTGTCAGGTTGGGGGAGACATGCTTATCTCAAGTTGTAGAGGCGCTGTGGCCCCATCACACATCAGCCCACATAAATGTTTTGGAGTGTCGCACGCTTCTGAACGTGATTCACCACTTTGCTCCAGTGCTGCAGAATCAACACATTTTGATTCACACAGACAACAAGGTTACTGCTGCGTACATAAACCAGGAGGGGGGTGTGCGCTCAGCCCAGATGTTACACATTGCGCAAAAACTACTGTGTTGGGCACACCAAAATCTGCTCTCCATCAGAGCAGTGTACAGTCCCGGTGTTCTGAACAAAGGGGCAGATGTGAGGTCCAAGGGCGGCCCACGTCACAGGGACTGGACTCTCCATCCAGACCTGATGGCCCAGACGTGGCAGAAATTTGGCAAAGCAGCCGTGGACCTATTTGCGACACGAGAAAACGCTCAGTGTCAACTACGGTTTTCTCTGAGCCCGCGAGACGAACTACCGCCGGGGGTCGACGCGTTGCCCACAGCCCATGGCCCAAAACGCTTCTTTACGTGTTTCCTCCACCTCCTTTGATTTTACGGTTCTTGAACCGAGTTCAGGAGGAGGGATTGACAGCTCTCCTGGTGGCCCCCGAGCGCGTGAACGCACCATGGTTCCCAGTCCTGCAACGCCTGCTATTGGGGCGCCCGTGGAAACTGCCGTGGAGGGAGGACGCTCTCCTCCAGGTGGGAGGAGCAATCAGAAGTTACCCAGAAATAGGCCAGCACCTGTGGGTCTGGCCGCTGAGCGGACCCGCTTAGAAGGGATGGGTCTCCCACAGGATGTAGTGCGCACAATTCAGGATTCACGTGTTGCATCTACCACAGCGCTGTACACATCAAAGTGAACAGTTTTTCAGCGCTGGTATACAGAGAAAGGTGTAGAGGCCACCTCATGTCCACTAGGCGACGTGCTGGCCTTTCTGCAACAGCTGATGGACATAAATTTGGCGACCAGCACGATTAACGTACGCTGCAGCCATCTCTTCCTGCCACGAAGGGTTCGGAGACAGAACAGCTTTTAATCATCCCCTGATGAAGCATTTTCTAAAAGGTGTACAACGACGCAGGCCTGTTTCACACCCACTTGCTCCACAGTGGGATTTAACGCTGGTCCTGCGAGCCCTGATCAAAGCTCCATTTGAGCCTCTGGATCAAGTCCCAATTAAATTCTTGTCTCTTAAAACAGCCCTGCTGCTGGTTTTAACATCCGCTAAGAGGGTGAGTGATTATCTGCCTTCTCTGTTGCTCCGTCATGTCTCAGAATTCAGGCTGACGGCAGCTCAGTTGATCGAAGACCAAATCCAGCTTTTATGCCTAAAACATCACGAGCTCTTTTAAATCAAGAGCGATATCGTTGGAGGGGTTTTCCCTTCCCCCCACAAATCAGAAGAAGAAGCGTTTTTCCATCTTCTCTGTCCGGTGCGGGCGTTGACGTGTTACATAGCGCGCACAGCTGCAATGCGTCAAATTCAACATTTGTTTGTACATTATAGAGATGCATCTGCAGGTCGCCCGTTATCCACCCAGCGCTTGTCACACTGGCTGTGTGAGGCCTTTTCTGAAGCCTACAGAGCATCAGATTTAGAGCTTCCTGTCAACCTCAGGGCACACTCGACCAGGGATATTGCATCTTCGACTGCTTTGCATAATGGTATGACAATGCAGGATATTTACACTGCGACCGCGTGGTCAACACCCTGCTTATTTATTCACTTTTATCTACGTGATGTGACGGCCCGTTCCATGACACATTCTGTCCTTAGTGTTTTACAGAACAAATATTGTTGTTTCATGGAACTCCGTTTAACTCACATCTGTCTGCATGCATTACAGTGTGAGATGTTTTTATCAGTCACAAGTTGTGGTTGTTATTTTGGTTCTATTGTCACTAATCAGTTCATGACTATTGTTACCAATCAGTTCATTTGATTAATAATCAGCTCTCCTGTTATTATTAATCTGTTCATACTGTTCAGCCGTAAACCGGTCGGTTCATGGCTCCTTTCAGCATTTTTCCCTCCCCGTTGAAACTTTTCCGGGGTGTTCATGCATTCAGAATGCATGCACAACATGCGTCTTTGCATGGCACACATAATTACGCAATGCGTAATTACGTACATGGGGAGCTGAGTGACAAGACGTTTTTTGGGCAAGCTTCTGCTTCATACGGTGTTCGAATGGACCCAGTGAGGCGAGGACCACATCTGCTTCGCCCCTAACCCATCAGCGACAACCTTAAAGGGCGAAGCCTATACAAAATAGAATGTTGGTTACGTACTGTAACCCCAGATTATATGAGTATAGGCATAGCCCTTTAAGCGTCGGGCCTCACTGGCCCCTAAATGGCTGAAGAAAAAGCTATTTGGGAGCCGATTACCCGCTCTTAACGTAATTTATACGGACCGGGTGGGGCCCACACAGCAGATGGGCGTGGACTAAATTTTTCAGTGTGATGCTTCGCATATCAGGATAAAACCCATCAGCGACAGCCTTAAAGGGTATATATACTATACTATACTATATAGGGTATATACTATACCCTATACTTATAGAATCTGGGGTTACAGTACGTAACCAACGTTTTGGTGGCAGGAGGCTTGTTAGCCTATTTAAAAAAAAAACATAATAAAATTAGCTGCAGCATTGTAAAAGCCTTAGAGTTCAAAACGTGTGAAAAAAGTAGCGGCTTATAGTCCGAAAATTACAATAAATACGTACCGGTAACACCACTGTGTTTCTGTTGTTTAGGTAAAACAAACATTTGACAAACTTTAAATTGCTAACATGAGAATCAAATATGTGTACACTCTTTGATCTTCAGTTTGGATAAAAGTAAGAGGTCTGTACTTTCAACCCCTGGACAACAATAAGCGTGTTTTGAGGAAAAAAAAAGAGTTAATTATTAAATTTTCTTTTAAGGATGTACAGACTTTTAACTCTTTACAAGATTTTTGCTTCATTTGTCTTTTCGACATACCTTTTATTAAGCAACATGAAAACTTGTCTACAGGAATAAAACCAAAGATTGTAAAAAAGTCAATAATGTTTTAAGTTTTTTCTGATTGATTTCATAGTTGTTGTATTTTTTATTTTATTTTTTTCTCTCTTTCCAGATCTGTTTCTTGATCATCCCGGCATCATTTCTGCTCTCAAGCATCTCTTCGTAAAAACTGCGAAACTTGAAAAACAACAACAGAACAATATTTTTGACGTCGTACCTCCAGGTGTGCTACCTGTGGAAGAGGACTCTGCAGCAGCTCGGGTAGGCTCTGATGCTGACATGGAGCTTTCGACTTGTGAGACAAGCATGGACAAAAATGATTTGACTCCCGGGAAGAACGGAGCACTGATGCTTTCAGAGGACCAAAGTAGACCTGATGAAACTGCCCCTGAAAGCGGAGGGGAGCCCACGCCGAGCCTTCTCAAGGAATGCTCTCTTCAGCTAGAAAGACTCAACAGACCGGCGTCCACACGTTCTCGGTTTGCGAGACCAAACCGAGGTCTTGGGATGAAAAAGTTTTTGCAGGAAGAGAAAAGACGACTCATTGACGAGGATACTTACAAGCCCACCTCCCAGAAATCAGCAGAGTCGAGCGAAGGTTCGCCTGAAGGCTCGGATAACGATGCGGACCCTTCGTTCATAGCTCCTGCCAGCACACGCAGTGAAGACGACTCGTGGTCTTACTACTCCGAGGACTCCCGTCGAGCTGACAGCAAGGCTGACTCGTGGTCCTTCTATTCCGATCAGGACAATTCTTCTAATGCCGGCGTTTTTGATGGAGGCTCCTCAGACGACGACGCCTCCGCTTTGAGACAAAACACCAACGTAAAGGAAAACGTTCTGAAGAAGCCTCGTAGCTTCTTGTGTTTTTTCTGCAACGAGAACGTAAACACAAGCCTGCGCACGCACATGAAGACACACTTCCCCAACCAGGATTACGCCTGTCCTCAGTGTGACACCAGATATGAACGCCTGACATCTCTCCTGCAGCACCTGAAGAAGACCTGCTTCGACTACATCCAGCAGAAAGCCAAAGTGGACCAGCCTGACAAGACCCAGAACCTTTCCAGATGTGACAAATGTGGAACAGAGTTCAGGTATAAGGTTTCTTTACAGAAGCACATGATGACGCACCATGAGCTGTACTGCCACGTGTGCCGCAGGGTCCTACGAGACACGGAGACTTTGGCGAGGCACAAAACGTCCCACACGCCGTATCAGTGCCCCCGCTGCAGTCTCTCCTTTATCGTCTTCAAGCACTTGATCCGTCACTATGAGAACGCCCACAAAATCAGCCGTCCCTTCATCTGCAGCCACTGTCCCAAAACCTTGTCCAAGCTGCGCTTCCTGATCAGACACGAGTGGCAGCACACAGGTCACCTGCCATTTCAGTGTGCTCAGTGCGACTTGAAGTTCCGATCGGACTCGGACCTCGTGTCCCACCAGAAGGTCCACACCAGAGAAAAACCGTACCTGTGCTCTGACTGCGGCAAGACGTTCTCCCGCAAGTCCAACCTGCTCCGCCACCTGAGACACCTCCACAGCGCGTCCCGAAGCGAAAAGAAGTACGGCTGCTCTCAGTGCGACAAATCCTTCAAAGAGAGAGGGTCCCTGAACAAACACCAGCGGAGCAAACACCTCATCGAGCTGTTTCGGTATCCGTGCCCCTACTGTGCAAAGATGGTGTCGTCATCAGCGTTGCCCCGACATAAGTTGATTCACACGGGCGAGAGACCTTACAAGTGCACGATAACGGATTGCAACAAAACTTTCAAATCAACGAGTGAAGTAAAGAGGCATGTTTTGTTTCACCACAGTACGGAGAGGCCTTTTCGATGTGACACGTGTGGAAGAGGCTTCATTAGACTGAGCGAGCTCACCGCACACACGCGAATACACTCCGGGGAAAGACCCTGTGTTTGTGTAGTGTGTGGGAAGGCTTTCCTCAAGCTCTACAGTCTTCTTCGACACAAAAGGCTTTTACATGGCTTATATAAACCTTAACTTCTGTCTGGAAGCTTCAGGTGAAAGAAAGACAATCATTTTTCAACTCTGCAGACTTCTGTATAAACCACTCATGCTGAACCAGTGACTGCCGTCATGTGTGTTAAAAGCTGCGTTAAAGTACAAGACAAGGTAAGGAGTTTTAATGGTGGATGGTTAGAAAATATCTAAACTGGTGCAGAAGCTTAAAAGAGTTTGTTGTTAGAGGTGCCAAAAAATAAACATTGAAGCAAATTTATTACAGTAGTCCCTCGTTACTTTGCAGTTTGACTTTTGCAGACTCGCTCTTTTGTGGTTTTTCAAAATAAGATTGGACGTGACGCAACTGGCTGATTGATGGATGAGCCTTGGGTTGTTTATTTTAAATAAATTATTTTAAAAGATTTTGCACCAGGGCAGCACGGTGGTGCAACTGGTAGAGCTGCTGCCTCTCAGCGTGCAGGTCCCGGGTTCAAATCCCGGGGCCTTTCTGGGTGGAGTTTGCATGTTCTCTCCGTGCATGCGTGGGTTTTCTCCGGGTACTCCGGTTTCCTCCCACAGACCAAAAACATGCATGTTAGTCTGAATGGTGACTCTAAAGTGTCTCTAGGTGAGAGAGTGAATTATTCATTAGACTGAGCGAGCTCACCGCACACACGCGAATACACTCCGGGGTATGTCCAAATGTACCGATCGACTTTTGTCTTCCAACTTAAAATTCAAAGTATGTCACATCGTAAAAATCATCATAATCACAAAATATAAAAGTGTTAAAATGTAATAATTAGAGAGTTTGTCTCGTTTGTCTCTGTGTGATGGACTGGAGACCTGTCCAGGGTGTCCCCCGCCCCTCACACAGTGATTGCTGGACATGGGCACCGGCGACTCCCACGACCCAAAATGGAAGAAGCGGGTAAAAGATAATGGATGGATGGATTTTGCACCATGTGTGAAGCCCACAAGTGCAGGGAGAATCTCCCTCCTGCAGCTGATCAGCTGAGCTCTGTTCTCTGCCACGCACGCACACATTTCTCCTGCTGCAGCTTTGTGAAGAGTTAACCCTTTGATGTCCAAATGTACCTATCGACTTTTGTCTTCCAAATTAAAATTCAAAGTATGTCACATCGTAAAAATCATCATAATCACAAAATATAAAAGTGTTAAAATGTATTTTATAACTTAGATGTTCAGTTGTTTCTGTGTAATTGATCAAGAAGTGCATTTCTGCTCCGTGCTGCAGAGCTGAAGCTACGTGAAGGGTTAACCCCTTGATGTCCTGCTGCACTTCTCTACAGTTTAAATTTAAATACTGTAACATTTTAAATAAACGATGGATTGTTTATTTAAAATGTTACAGTATTTATCCTCTCACTGCAGCACATGGCAGCAGCACTGTGGTTATCAGAGTGGATGATTACTTTCGGTTGATGGAGGTTTTGAAGGAGAAGAATCTTTCTGTTAATTGACGAGATGCACTTTTTTGTAAGTTTGTCCCAAAGAGACCATCCCTGTGTTTGACTGACTGAGAAAGCCACTAATGTTGATGTTTTTCTCTTAAACAGGTCAGTAAAATCTTGATTTATTTATTGCACAAGTAGGATCCTCATCTCCACCTGTCAATCAAGGCAGTACACTCATCAGCAACTGAACAATCAGCAACCTCAATTTGTCCCGAAGGTAAATGCCCCTTACCTGCAGGAGCTCCACCCCCTTTTTCCTCCAACAACATTGTCATAGTTTTGCATTACAAATGCTTTGCAGTCAGAGGTTAATGGTTAAATTAAAGGTTAATGCTTAAAGCTTTTGTTTTGTTTTGTGTATTTTGTATGTAGATGTAGTTTGTAACTTCTGGTTGCATCAGTTTAGTCTTCGTTTGCTATGATCCTTTAAAAGTCTTATTTGTGACTGAGCTCCTCGTTGACCACCCTGAACACACCTGATCTTGGAAGCTAAGCAGCGTCAGGCCTGTGAATACCAGGTGCTGTAAGCTTTACACCTCTCACCAACCACACCATGGGGTGTGTTCAAGCCATTGTCAGTACTGGAGTCTTAACTACCCCTAAAGGTCAGATTCTACAATCGCCCGTGCTCTTGGGGGTTCTCACTTTCCTTGCAAGAGTCGCAAAAGCTCACAGACTTTTCACTTGAATATTGAACATGATAAAAATAAAAATTGAAAGCAATTATGTCTCTAAATTTTTGCAAAATCATATTAATTCATTCAACTTTTATTTATACAGGTTATTCTTGAGTCACGTGGACTCATTTACAAGAGGGCCTGTGTTATGGGCCATATGGGTGTCCCAGATGTGTTTTTATTTAGTTTTTGTGATTCCAAACCAGAACTGTCTTTTGACACCTGCACTGGAGCTCTCCCATGACAGTGTCCAGCTCTAACCAGTGTCCAGGTCTACCAGCCAACTATGTTGTTTTCATTCAACCTTTATTTAAACAGATAAGTCACAATGAGCCTAGAAGACTCATTTACAAGTGAGATCTGTTTAGACAGACAAAAAGTAGTGAAACTGGACAACATGTCGGAATTGGAGGTGAAAAAATTCCTATCAAGAGTTTTTCTTCTTGCCTGAGAAGAATAACTCTGATATTAAAAAACACCTCGCACAAACAAGCACATAGTGATGTAGACATTCTGCAGAGGGGGGAGATGACGAGAGCGGTGAGCATGTCCATAGACGCTCTTGAGGGCACTGTAAGAGTTCTGATAAGGATGTAATAATCATCAGCCAGTTTCCTCCAGTGAGATCCGTAAACATTCTCGAGGGATGTCGACAAATGGCCATGGATAACGTCTATGGGAATCCAAGAGTCCTGAAATGATTACACAATGTTTATTCAGCTTGTTTCTTCTGGTTATCAGTTGGAAATTCCTGGAGCGTGAGCGTCAGATCACATGTTCTCCAGGAAAATTCAGATAAGATGACCTTCAAGGCCAGCCAGGGGAGCCAATTTCAGACAAACACACAGATGTTTTGGGCACAGGCAGAACTTAATGACATCTACCTTGAGTCTGTGTTGGTCCACTCGGTTCCTAAATGTCCAAATTACATGGCCACACCGATGGAATGTGATTGAGTAAAATCGCCAAGATCTGATCCATTCTGCCCAAAGCATTTGAATCTGGGTACTTGAGACACGAACCAAGCCATCATAAAGGCAAGCAGAGTGATCGGGTCTCAATTTGCTGCCAACGACTTCCTTGATTGTAGATAAAACCAGCAACCAGCCAAATCCAAAAAATCAGGAACCAGTTATCGTAAATCCAATTATAAATGCATCCTTAAAATCCACAAATGGCAGCATAGATAGACACATCATCAAGTCTTCCAAGTCAATGAGATATCCAGCTGCGTGCGTGCCAACAGGGCAAATCGGCTCATCTAAAGCCTGTCTTCTGTTCAAAGAAATGTTATCAATTGTGTTGAGGGACCAACTGATCAAATCAAGTAATTATAATTCAGAAGATATGCAAGAGAGGCTCAGAAGCAGTTTCACAGACAGCCAGAGCAGCAAAGCGGAAAGGGAGGGGAGGGGAAATGCATCCGACCTCGACAAGAGCAAGTAGTGATGTGTGTGAAAATTACAAAAAATTGGTCCAAAGCTTAGGCTTGTTGCAATAAACAATAAATTAATTAATCTCATGATAAATGAAAATTATCAACCTTATTATATATATACTATATATATATATATATATAT